GTTAGAAAGGTAATAACGTAAGCTACTTTGTGAAATGGAAGAAATTCAATGAATTGTTACGAACATAGAAAAAATTTGCAATGAACGTCAGCGCGCGCTGTAATCATAATTTTGGCCCACCGTGTAGAGCAGTGCGACACCTGTAAGACGAAGCATCATTAATTCTCGTAAAAGCTGCCTGTTGTCCCTTTCGATGCAGTAATTTCGCAAATTGTGGGCACTCACCACGTGGTTTCTGTAGCTCTCCCTCCTTCAGAAAGGACTCAGTGTTACGACTCTCGAACTTCTAGACCGAGTCCCTTCCCTTCACTGAGCTGCAATTCAAATGCCACTCTCCACTTGATTCCACAGCATTGACAACCATGTCGTCAAGGGAATCTTCTCCCTGATCGAAATCGTCCCCACCACTTCTGATTAGGAGTTCATTGAACGATCAACTTGATTCATTCACTATTCTAACGGAGCAATGTCTACGGGGAATTTTTCCTGCAAACAAGTTTTAAAAAGCAGAATATTTTCGGAACTGCACATATTTTGCGAGTCATAAAAGACCGCTTCACAAGCAAAACGTCAAGCCGTGTTGATGAGAAAGGCGCCGGGTAGCGCAGACGCCACGATACCCAGTACGTTACAGTGATCATGTGGGATGTCTCAGGATCCTCAAAGGGAGCTTACAGTGCAACGGAAAGGCCCACAATGCTCCATAGTGAGTGTTAACTCGTAGGAAAGAATCGCTAGAGGGAACTTATTCAGCATAAGTGATAATATTGAGATGGATTCAGCGGTTGGACGCCATTCGACGATTATTTGATGAAAAAAACGGGGGAGCTCAAGAGAAGCGACCACAAGAGTTGTAGAGAAATGGTGGCACGAGATTATCAAGTAGAACCTGACCAGAACCAGTGAAAGGGATAGAAAACACCGCGTCCGGAAAGTACAAGAGCTGCCTTAAGCCTCGCCCGAGGCCAAAGCATTGCCCGCTACCCGCCATTTCAATTAGATTACTATGTATAATTCACTGCGCGTGTGTGACCGGAAGTTCATAGCTCCGGTTCCGCCGGACCGAAAACGTTCAAACTTCGTAATGATGCGGTCAGAAAGATGGAACGAGACAGGGAGTGGTAACATTTGATAGGGCTCATAAGTTGCTCAGAATGGCAAGAGTCACAGGATCTGCACTCCATTCATATTAACATTGGAGCTTTGGCACTTTGGTAAGTGCGGCAATGAGATGGGTTTGCAGACAAAGATCATAAGTATTGATAACAATTGATTAGGACTGGTAAGCAGCTATAGAAGGTAAGGGACAGCAAAGTGGTTGCGTCCTTTGGGTTAGTAGGGAGAAGTTAATCCTATGAAGGGTGACGTGATGCTCGTAAGGCAAAAGAATGGGAACAAATGAAAACAACTGTCAAGGGACAACGAAAGACCCCGGTTCGGTTTCTCTTTAGCATGGTAATGGAGCTTTTCTGCTCAAGTGGGTGATGTGACATACATGACCTACCCGTCCATTAATGATCTGAAAAACTCGACCAATATTTACATCCATGAAGACGAGAATCAGATATGGGCTTCGGATAGTGGTGGAATTATGGGCCGACAACCTTAATGTGCAGCATTCTGGCATTCGGCTTACTAAATAGATAACTCAAATGCGAAATAGTCGGTGACCCAGAAGACTATATAAAGAAAAGAATCCAATTCTCTTGATGGTTATCAAGACCGAGAGGAACAGAAGAAGACTTCGTAAGCGTAAATAATATGCGTGTCGAAATAATTTCTGCTCAATTGGGAGCATTCTCCTTCTTAAATGCTGTGGTCAGAAATGAAGCTCTTGTTCTGAAAAGAGGAATAGAAAGTGAAACATTGCAAACCCAGCGTATGCCAGACGATTCGACTGTTGTATAATAACCGTGTAATTCGACTTGACTCCCTTTGACTATCAAATTTCGGCAAACATGAAAAATGAAGACTGTCTACTTTTCCAGGGAAAGCGCTTTGTTATGAAGTTGAACCCACATGAGGTGCGAATATGATATTAGCTCATGTGATATTACCACAATGAATAGCACAAAAGTGGTTTAGTTCAGTTATGCTGATATCAATTACTGTACAGCGCGGAGAACCCGCAACATTCCGCAACCGATTTAGTTTATATTTCAAGACGGTTTTTACGGTTCCTTCACTCTGGGTCTTAGTCTTTCACTCAACTTCTATCACGCTGCTTTCATACCAAGGTTCACATAAAAGGTATGGTTGCTCAAATTGTAAAGTATTCAATACAAAAGAACAAAAGCCGGAAAAACAGTAAACAGAATGACCCAGAACTGGGTGAAAGCGTAATTGTTGGGGAGGTGGGGGAGGGGGCAGCGTTCTTTTCCAACATTTAGCGCTCTAGAGGACAGAGAAGGAGAAGTACCAGACCATACCCGTGGTTAGAGATGTTTTTAGTCAAAAGTATATTATTTTCACCTATGCATCAGAAGAGGCAAGGGGAGGAGCTCCGTGGTGTGTGAGATGATTACCTCGTGCGGGAAGCTGGGATGGGTAAGAATTGAACAATCAGTTGGCTAACTCACCGTGTAGCTCTTTTGTTTTGAGGAATAGAAAGAAAAACATATTTTTTGATAAAGAAACGTTCTTAAGCATCAATATGAGCTCACGAGGTCGGCTACCCATCCTTCTCAGCGCCTAACGCTCAACGATCCAAAAGAGCACCGCCCTTGCCCTTCCAACAACAACATTTCCACCCAGATCTGATCTTCAAACAACTCTCAACAAAAGAAAAAAAGAAAAACTGAGAAAAAAACAATGAAAAGTAAGTAATACCTCAGTAATCCCTCGAGCAACAAGCCCATCAACCAATACCTCGTGGTAACAGTCTGCAATTGCGTACAAACGAAAGCCACCGTAATCTTCCGCTTACTTTTATTCGACTTCGAAGCGGGACGTCAGATGGGCAAAGTATCTGTGGGGGGAGTGGAGGGGGAGAAGCAACGCTCTAAACGGTAGAGCGTTCCGTTTCTTAGCCGAGAAAATGCAGCTTTTTCAAATAAGCTGCAAAAGAAAAGGAGCATGGAGCAAGCAGCAAAGGCCACGTTGCCGGTGTGGGCGCGTGATCCATCGATGTCCTGCGCTGTCAATACGTGGCCAGCGCCGCCATCTGTGCGGTCGGTATGGGAACATTTATACGATCACACCTAATCAAGAACTCCTCGTACCAAGGCGGGAGGCGACTTTAATTAGGTCGAAGACTTCATGTTAATTATGCTGCCCCCACATCTATACTAATAAATCTAAAACTTATCAACTAATGAGAATAATGGCTGTAATAGTAATAAAAAGTGAGGGTTCTATAGAAAGTAAGGTCTTTCGGCAGGAAAAATTCCAACAGAACTGGTTTTAATTTTCATACAAAATGAGTAGAGCCAACATATTTCTGGTCAATGTTTCTATAAGATGAGGAAAAATCGGTCAACCATCTGATTAATAAGGAAATCCTAAAACACAAACTAAATTTTTTTAAAATAAAAAGCATAGTTTAGTTCGTTGCGAATCTGGACATCTTCATGCAAAANGTAGGGGGTCGCAGGGGTATACATGCCTAAGGAAAGCGCGGGAAGAACCGTATGAAAGGGGACCCTCGAGAAGGAGAAGTGGTCACTTGTTTTTTTTTGTCTCCCGCAGGCAACAGTGTGCCTCCGTGAGCTGAGCTAGGACGTTAAGGAAGGTCTAAGTGGCCGGTTCTTTTGCGGTTGGAACCCCCGTAGTTAGCTCTGTGCCCGACGCGCTGGTGAATCTCTCTGTCTTTTTGTCTTGGTCTATCTAATCTTTTTGCTTTCCGCCGAGTCTTTGTTTCGTTTGTTCGCGTTTTTTTGCTGTTGTTTCAATACATCTGTGGATCGTTGTGTTTCGCCTGACACTCGGAAACAAAGCCAACCCTATTCAGTTTAGTCTCGAAGTCCCTAAGGAGGGACCTTACAAAGGGGCCTAACCAGTGCACTGAATGTGGTGTGGTTTAGTTACGAGTGTCCAGGCGTACAAGTCGAGTATCGCTTTCGGGCCCAAGCAAAAAAGCCCGTTGTGCATAGTGTAGAGTGTCCAGGCGTTCATGTCCAGGATTGTTGCCGGGCCCAAGCAGGAAAGTCCGTTGTGCAGAGTGTAAACGCACCGTAAAATAAGGGTGCCGTGTTACAGGGAAAGCATGCAGAGTCAGAAATCAGCTGCTACCATGCTGGAAGAGGCAGTTAATGTCAGTTGTTCAAGATTGGACCATGATGGCCGAGAAACAAAAGGAAACGAGAACTGCTCTCCCCATGAGGTGAGCAATCTGTGGGATTGTAAGGAGGGGAAAGGGCTAGGAAAGGAGTGGGAGGAGGGGACAAAGGTCTTGCATGAGAGCCATAAGGGACTGACGGCTATAGTGGGTGAAACCACAGCATCGAAACAGACCAAATCTGGCATAGAATTAGAATGGAGTATTATGGTCGAGAAGCTGGGCAAGTTATACAGAGATCATGGTAAGAACACATCGTGTGCGGGGGCCCTAATAACTTCCATAAGTGCTACTCTAGCAGAGGGAGGGATAGAAAGCGAGGAAGATTAGAAGGATCATGTGGCTACAATGGAGCGTGATGGAGCGATAGTTTCGGATCTCAGTTAGATGTTAAATGTGAACAAATTGCAGATCTGGGATTGTGTGGCAAATCTCTTAAGGGGAGACTGGGACAAGAAGGTCGCAGGTATACTCGAACTCAGAGCGCAATATTCGGACAGTTACAATTACGCAAGGAGATATAACGGGTCTTTGGCAGTAGTGGCGCCGAAGCAGGAATGGCCGTGTACGGTCGTTAACGTACAGTTAGTTAACTACCTGCGGGCTATGACGTGCGCTGACCCAGGGATCTTTCGAGAGGCCAAGAATGAAAGCTTCACGCAATTTTTGAGGAAATTCAAGAGAAAGTATCAGGGCGTGATCACGTGTGAGTCCACGTTAGTTGACATTCTGGCGGATGATCACTTTGCAGGGCGAGCTAAGAATGTATTTCTGTCTCTACCATAAAGAGTCAAGGGACAGGATCTTGACGCTGTAACGGTGGAAATGGCAAGCTTGTTGGCTTGTGACTCAACCGCTAGTCGAGGCTAAGAGCCCTGACTGAGTTGATACATTCAAGAACCGACCCAATCAGGATGTCGCCTAATTTTGTGTGGTGTCAAAGAGCTGAGTAAGCAGGCAAATCCTCAGGGCGCATTGGAATAACGGTCTTTGGAGCTAGCACAGATCCCTCTGGATAATACGAGCAATTGGTCCGGGTATTTCAAACTTGATGGTGCTCTTCATAGTGTGGAGCCACCTAAGGCATATGGAAGGGCCAAGAATCTTGCTCTTAGAATAGAACAGTCTAAGTTGATCCTGGCGTAACGTGAGGAATACCCTTTCATGCGTGAAAGACAAGAGCAGCAATATAATTGCAGCAGGGAGGCAGGATTCGATGATAGGGAAGCCCAGTACAGAGGAAGCGTCCATGAGACAGGTGAGCAGGTGGACCTCCGAAACGTGGGTCACAGCAGTCAAATAGCAAACTACCAACGGGAAGTCGGAAATGCTATACCTGCTCTGAGTAGTGGCATGTGGCACGGGAATGTCCAAGACGAGTAGCGAAAGTAAATCAGATTGAACTCAAGGAGGTGGAGCCCAGAAGCGAGGAAAGAACACTGCCGTCAATCATCGACGAAGCCAGATGAGCCAGATGCATGGGCATGACAATAAGCGGAAAGGGATCAAAAGAAGGCGATCTCATCGGAGAGCGATTGACGGTATCTCTCAAAGTGTTGAGCGAGCATTGTCAAGATTTGTAGATACAGGAACAATGACTGCCATCGTTCCGGTAGAGTTACTGGCAAAAGAACAGGATAAATATGTGGACGTCTACACGGTGATAATGGTACCCAAAGCCAAGCTCATGCCAGTCAATGACGCATCGCACAGGAGGATGGAATTCCTCACAGTAGTCGAGAATCTCCATCCTACTGTGTAATGCGTCATTGATTGGCAGATCGAATTAGAGGACGGGTGTACTCGAGAAGTAGCATTTCATATTAGCCCAAAGAAAGAATTCGAAGGTGAATGTGGGAATGAATGCTTTGAGTAAGTTAGATATAAATATATTAATCGGGAGCAGCTTAATAAAAGGAAGGAGACAACGAGGCAGGTTTGTAAAGGGAAAGGAAAGTGTCAATAAGGTGATGATAGCGGAGAGACGCTATATACCACCCAGAGACACAGCTCCAGTAGAGGTGAGCCCTTTCTGTTGTCCCGTCTCGCCTCCTCCAGTCCTTTTTTTGTATCTCCTCGCGTCGTCCCCTCCTGTAATCAGTTCTCGTCATCAGCCCTTCGTTAGGCCTACTGTAAGGGGAACACCGTTGTCGTGCCGTTCGGACGACTTAAAGGCCGGCCTCGCTGGGGCGCGCGCGTAGTCCCGCCGGGAAGGCACCGTACGCTGCAGAGAGCTAGAGTTTGCCACGTGGCGGCGGACTCTAGCCACTATCGGCGTTTGCATCATTCATTCGCCATAGTGTCAACGCCATAGCCCTCTGCTTTCGACTATTCCTGTGCCTTCAACGTCAGCAATATCGACGTAGCCCCCGATGGGCTCAGAGCACCACTACTATGCCATCTCTGAGTGGTGCCAAGCTGCATGGATCGGAGCTGAATGGATACAACTGGATGGTGGTCCACTGCTATCAAGGACCTGGATGCAGCGTAGCCAAAAAGGAGGTGGGAAGGCTTGGATGGGACCTGGATGAGATTGAGATCGGATCGTACCCCAGACCATAGGTTATAGTGTGGTTTTATTGTGCTGGTACTTTCCTTTCACGATTTATTGGATTTTGATCAATTGTTCGTCTTCTCTCGCCTTCTTGACTCCTTTTAGTCAAGAATCGAAGACACATTTTGATTTAGAGAATTTCTAATTTTTCTTTTTCTTTCTTCCCTGCGCATTAACAACCTTTTTATTGCATCATTGTAGGCCCAGCAGGGTTACGTTCAAAGAAGGGATTACTACGCGCTATTGCAACAAAATCGAATCATTACTAAAACAGTATGAGGACTAGAAACGGTATCAAGAATATCCCGCCTCAATGACGAGTGTATCCAAAACCAAGGAATAGGCTTTGAAGCTCAGTGCTACTTCTCAGCTCGTTTCCGAAGCTTTGTCGGACTTCACAGGGTTGATCGATTCCCTTGCGGACAC